CGATTTTATTTTGCGAATTTTTTATGCCAGTTACCATTTCTACAAGTTTATCGATTTTAGCATCAGAATCAGAACTGAGCTTAGTAGGAGATTTTAGTGACATGGTAGAAATATAATGAAGATATAATGCAATGTAAGTACCTGATTGAATAGAATATACCTGCTGCAAAACTGTGGCCGGGAACAACGATAACAGAACACGCGAGGCACGTGCGTTCGCGATAACGGTTGACTTGTAACTATGTGTGGTATCTTCTTAATAATGAATTATTAAAGTGAACTTCAGACCTAAAATAAATAAGTAGATCCTTTCTGGAGGTTAATATGTGATAAATGTATAATATTACACAGTTATGTTCATCAGAGCGTCCAAACATATTGTAACGTGATCGCGTAACAGCCTTTGATGTTTCGCCAAAACACCGACAATCGGATCGCCGGTTTGTTATAGAATTATGATACAAGTACGCCGATTTGTTACACACGAACACTGTTCGCGAACTCATGTTTGCCGTTTTGTTACATAGTGTGTACGCACCTTAAGAAATTATTTTGTGATAGTATAAGGATGTAGTTAAATCTTAAATTAATACTCTATATTTATATTTTCTGTGTAGTATTAGCAGTGCCGTATTTAGACATTTTGCACCCCGGCGCAAAAAAAAAAAAAAAATTGGCGCCCCTCTAAGAGGCCTATCTACAGAACATATAAGAGATAGATCCTCCTGAACCTTTTAGATATTCTAAAATGAATGCTATTTTTGTGTGGCAGACATGCTACCGCATGCCGCACGCAATAACATAATACGCCGTATTATTACAAATAACTTATGTTTATTGACACTATCACAACAAATTTAGGAACTAATATTAGGTATATTAATAATATTCTAGATTGCCGATAGCTGTATTGCTATAAATACATTAATAATATATATTAATAAATAATTACATTAACATTAATTTATGATATTCTTATTAAAAACAAAAAAAAAATAATAATTTTAAAATAATTTTAAAAGTTCAATAATTCACAAGTGAGCAAATTTCTGACCACAAAATGTTTGTGCCCCCAAAAAACTGGCACCCGGAGCAGTTGTAGCCAGTGCCCCTCCCCCCTAAATGCGGCCCTGAGTATTAGAACTAGGTAAATTATTACCGTTCAACAATGAGCATACATGTACACTTAGACTATTTACTATTTACTATATGAAGCATTAGTAAGTATATTATACAATATATAATATATAATATAAACCATATTTAAAATAAAAAGTTATTACTTTGACAGTAAGATCAATATAATTTTTAATCATTTAACAAATATGGGTAAGTTCACATTCAATACCTTATTTATGCTAATTTTATATACAGCAAGTCCTGTGTATTCGAGTAATAAACTTCCTCAAATCTAAAATTAAACAAAGGCTTTAAATTTTAAATTATTCAAGTATTCCTTATATCAAAATTACTAGAGGGCCAAATTTAGAAAATTAAAATCTAGTGGGCCAAAGCATAGCATAGAAAAGGAAAAAAAGGTCATTCAAAATATAAATTTTAATTTGTATTTATATACACGAAAATAATTGTGTAAAGGATAAGGATGAGCGTAATAAAGATGTAGAATTTAATATCAGTGTATTATCAATTAAATAAACAAATGAAAGTTTTAAAAAATTGTACATCTAAACATATTTAATTTAAAAAAAATAGTCACAAGAGTAATGAAAAATAGGATTTAATTATTTTTATTGAAACTGAAGATACCTAAATTATTCAACCCTCGTGGAATTTTCTGTATGTTGTTATTGTTGGTTTGATTCTTTTTGCTCTACATTTTGTAACGATATTTAATAATCTGTACCATGTGCTACGATGGTAATCGTTATGAAAATTCATATCGCATATACTAAAGTGAATAAGATTACCGGTGAATAAGGGTAATTTTTTTTATGATTTCGACCACCGAAACTTTAAATTTACCATCAAAACCAAAAATAATTGCATTATGTATGCATAGTTTATAGAAGTCTAGGCACGTACAATTTAATCCACTTCATTGAACATATATTGATCGGTTACCAAGTGAGACAACGTTTATCATTAGCTTTCCAATGTGTGCAGCACTTGATGTGTGAATAATTTAAATTATTTGGCCGATACACTTAAATGTATTATTACATTCACGATTATAGTATGTGTAATTAAATAGCTATGAAGATTTTTTAATTTTTTTTTTTTTTTTATTGTTAAAATCAATGGAGTTACATCATGTTGGACGATAAAATTAAATCCTATTGGAAAATGGTACTTTTATATTTATTCCTAATTAAAAAACAAAAAAAAAAAAATAATAATATATTCCGTTAAGTAAAGTTTATAACGTATATAAGTAAAATTTATAATAATAAATTATTATTTATAAATAATAATTTTTTTATAAAAAAAAAAAAGTTTATAACGATGTTTATTTGTAGTAATTGTTTTCATTTTAACCTTATTTTATTTCTTTTACGGTTTACCGAAAATCAAGCTGTTATTGTAATATAAAATGAAGATTTAACGTTAAATTAAATTTGATGACACTAATAATAATAAAAGTCCTTTTACCAAAATTAAGGCGAACGCCAGTTAAAATAAAATGAAAGTAGAGTTTTTCTAATTAAAAATAATTAACCTAAATAAAAATAATAAACTACAGTATACGAATTATTTAATGTACAACGATATATAGAAAATATTTACGGTTTTATAATTTTAATAAATAATGAAGTATGTTATAATTTACTTAGTACCTTATTTTAAACCTTAAAGTAGATAACACAACATTTTAAATTTTCTTACAATATTTCTAAAAACTGAAAAATTCATTTAATGAAATAAAAATTATTTTTACTCTGTGGTCTTTACAGTATTATATTTCCATTACACTACTAATATTGACAACTATCTATTAAAACTATTAGTAAATGCTTGACGAACTATTTTTTGTTGTTAATATCAATAATTATTAATTATATTGTAATTGTGACTGCTTTATATATTTGCAAAATATGGAAACACGAAAACACTCAACATTAAAAAAATCAACGGATGAAAAATATGTAATTAAAAACCAGGTTATATTCATCAATTCATTCATTTTCATTTTTGTATTTATTGTCATTTTATTTGTATTACATTTAAAATAAATAGTAGCAACTTATAATTACGATATCCAAATAATTATTTTTGGAAAGTTTGGATTACTAGTTCTTAGTTCTTTTCTGTGGTTAATAAATCACGTAGTATACGAATTTTCATGTAATGATGTTTAAAAGTTTTGAAACTCTGATTAGGTATGTTATTTACCAATAAAATGTAAAAGATCAAAGAGAAAAATAAAAGTTATTATTCGTGAAAAGAACTAGTTGAGATTTATTTTAATTATTAAAATGTTAAAGAAAATGATATTATAAGAAAAAGATAAGATAATAATATTCAAGCCTTTTGGAATTTTAACATTTGAAAAAATATCGATCTTCTCTAACTATTATTATAATTTAATTTTATCGCTAAGACATATAGAATAAAACTATTTATTCACATTTAAATTAATCTCAACGTTTAGTAGATGCAATTTAATAATGAATATTTTTTTAATAAAAAAAAAACTATTAATAGTCAATTTTAATTTATTGATAAATTATTGTTTCAATTATATTTAACTAGTATGCGTGAATTTTATGTGTACTCGTATATACTAAACTACTATGTGGTTGACGTTGAACGGCATCGGAGTTGGGTATCGGGATAGGTAACGTCACTAACATAATATAAAAATTCATTTTGCACTAAACGTTATATTAATATGAACATATTAACATAATGTAATTATTTTATTTTAAATTTTTTATACAAAAAGATTTTCCTAGCCTAAATAGGCTACCAACATTCTATGGATATTTACAGAATCAAAAATTTTTAGCCATTTTTATATGATAATAATCATAATAGTAAAAAGTACTTAAGTTTGGTTAGAAATTATAAACAATAATTTATTAGTCTGAAGACGATGAATATAATTTGGCATAATATAATTTATAATTATACACATTATAATAGTGAACTAATAAGGTCGTGTGGATAACTGCGTTTAAGATTTTTTTGAGATGGTGGATATATATGTAAATTGAAGTGTAGTGAGCTTGTTAAATTATGAAGTGAACTGTGGAAATGTACAGCAGGGGCGTTTATATGGTCTTCAATTTTAATAATTTGAAGGTCTTTATGTAGATTAGGTTATATTATAATTTTGTATGAACCATGGCGCATTCGTTATTATTCTTATTTTTTTATTTTGCAAAATTTAAATTTTTCTTATGTGTTTCTCGTTATTCAGATACTTTTTAATGTATTATAATATATAAGCACCGCAATGTTATCGCCAAAACAAAGTTATTTTTCATATAAAATGATAAAAAATATTATAAAAATAAAAATTATTAAATGGTTAATACACGTAAATTAATATATAAATAAATAGTTTATCTGTAAAAATAAACACTTAAATAAACTATTTTTTTATTTATGTATTATTTTTTATAGTTTATTGTGCCAGTATTGCACTAATCGTTGATCGTTTTTTTAGGTATATAGATGCTTTTTCAAAAAAAAAAAAAATAATAATAATAATTTTTAATAAAGATAAGTTGCTTATTAAAATAAATGTAATTAATTTAAATAATTTTTTTGTTCCTTAAAACTATAATAGTTCGTATTTTGTAAATATCAAATAAAAAAGATTGTTTATAATCAAAATTATGATGATTTTATTTTTTGTCCCATTTTATCAAGAAAAATATACTTTAGGTATCTTGATTTATTTTTGATTAATGATGCTCGGGAAAAATTTGATGTATTTTGGAATTAAAAATTATGAACACTATGCGCTATTTATAAATGATTAAGTTGTCATTAATATTAGAAAAGACTAACAACCTATATATATTCGATATAAAATGGAAGTAACGTTTTTTATTAAAGTAAGTGATGATTTTTAAGAAATTGCAATATGATAATTTCATCAATATATTTATGCCAAATATTAAGTAATAATTACTATTGCTATGGAAAAATTGAATAGTTTTATTTTGTCCATAAAAAACTAACCAATATAACATGTTATTTAATTAAAATGATTTAAAAATCTTTTTATTTCATCGATGGCTTATATTTTTTTAAAAAATATTTTATTCATCAAACTTATAGTGTCAATCACTTGATTAGCTGTAAAAAAGTATAGTAATAATAACATTTAATTATAATAACATTTATATTTTCCAATGTTGTACCTCTCGAACTTTTTTATTGGTCATACCACACATAACCTTATAACTTTAGTCATAAACATATATTAATATTGAGTAGGTATACGTAAAGCAATTCAGATTTCTACCATTCGTACACTTTTTGTTTTATATTTCCTTAATTAAATTTTTGGTCTTATCCAAGAAATTCCAACCGGGTGAATTTTTTTATAAACATATAATAATTATTGATTTTATATATAATAATTATATTATGATTCAATAATGGATGAACTCGAAATTAATGAATACATTTATATTTAAATATATTATTATTACTTTTCCAACACCGTGTGGCTCTGCAAAGAACGACAATATAAAACAGAAACTTTACGTTAGTAATCAAATACAACAGTATCAATGCTTGAATTAATTGTTTTACAATTGTTAAATTAAACAGTTTAATATTGATTTTGGATCATTAAATGGAAACTGAAAAATAAATATTAATCCAAGCAAAAGAGAATAAAACATTTTTATGGTATAACCGTATTTAAGTCCTAAATGTTTTTACACATGCAATGAAACAATATAACGGAATAACAGGGATAAAAAAATATATGCTTATATAATTTTAATGTATGTCTAGTAATTAAATAACAGCTGAAAATTGTACTTCTCAGTGAAAAACATAAAAAAAGTTCACAATAATGCAAAATAACGATATGTCAGGTAGACAAATAATTTGTATTAAATTATTATTTGTATCCAATAGCGAACTAGAATCATCGAACCCGTATACTTCGCCTTGATCGATTCATTGTTGGACTGTTCACTTGATAAATCCACAATAGTACTATAGTACCAAACATTTCAAACCGGATAAAAAAACCATTCAACATAGGAATCAAAAGGTAGGAAGATTTATCCAGGACCTATTTAACCCTTGCTAACTTCAAATAGGTAGTAATAACAACTCTAACATAAAACAGATTATTATTTATATATGATTATAGAATTATTACTACTTATAAAGAAGTCTGTTAAAAAAATTTACATAAGGAGAATAAAATTATTATAAAATAGATCAAGCGTTTAAATAAATTCAACTTACAATTTTTCTTAAAAATTATTATTAGAGTAAAAAAATGTTAACCTCAAAATTAAAAACGACTAGTATTATATCTATACAATCATTAAATAAAAGTTCAGATTTCAAATATTTAAATTTAGAAAATTTTAAATAATACATCAAAATTAAATAATAAACAATATTTATAATTTCAATTTTACACATTTATATTATTTAAATGAATAGTTTGAGATATTTGAGCTTGGGTCATACGTATTAGTTGAACTTTTAATTATGATTGATTCATTAAAACTGAACAAATTATGAACGTGTGAACTCTTGTTTCAGTAAATAATGAAAATTGACAATCAATAATTTAGAATCTATTTTTATTTTGAGTTATTTCTAAATAATTTATCAGTATCCTCTCAGGGGGACACTAAATAAAATACATATTTAGTGCTACGAGCTTAGCGCATCCGGGGTCTCGAGCTGTGGGCTGAATTTAATTTAGTTGGCTTAAAACGGTCCTACAGTGTTGGGGGTTTAGCTATGAACTAACAATCTATTCTAGTAAAAATCTTTTGTTGTGAATCTTCTATCAAAGCCTCGGAATGTGGATAATTATGGGAACATACATGGAACTCATAACGGAAAACTTTTGGAGACTAAGGTCGGAACATGGAACGTCATAATCCTCTATAAAGCAGGAGTTTTAAAAAATATTGTGGAAGAAGTTGAAAAATACAAAGTACCAATAGTCGCAATACAAGAAACTCGGTGGCTTGGAAATAAAAATGTGCAATCTGGGAACTCGACTATCTTCTTTAGTGGTAAAGAGATAAGAAGACACGAACAAGGAGTAGGCTTCATAATTAGTAACTCGATAATGCCAAGATTAATCTATTCATTCCAGTAAGTGAACGGCTTTGCTATCTGCGAGTGACAGAACGAAAATTCGATGTATTTATAATTAATTGCTATGCCCCTATAGAGGATGAGGAAATGAAAAATATTTTCTACGAAGATCTAGAGAGACTATTTGATTTTCTACCAAACAACTGCATCAAAATGGTATCTGGTGACTTTAATGCGCAAGTTGATAAAGACAATTCTCTTAGATCAACTATAGGCCAAGAAAGCTGGCACCTGCAATCCAACGATAATGGGCTTTGATTAGTTGGCTTTGTAGAATCTAAAAACCTCACTATAAGTAGCACTTACATTCCTAGAAAAAACATTCACTAGCACACGTGGATTGCCCCAGATAGTAAGACAAAAAGCCAAATTGACCATATAATAATTGACAAGCGTTACCGAACATGCATAAAAAATGTCAGAAGTTATAAAGGCGTTGATGGGAACTCAGACCACTTCTAAGTAATAGCAAATCTTTCATTAAAACTATCAACAATTCGGGAAAAGAAACGATAGTTGAACACTATGCATAAACTGGATAGGTGTAAATTAAGAGATCAAAAGGCAATCATAGAATACCAAAAAAGAATTAAGGAAGGTTTGAATTGCTGTACTTCAGTACAAAACGAAATGAATAACGTAATAAATTTGGACTCAAATAAAGGAATCAATAAATAAGGCAATAGTAACACTCCGAGATACTAAAAGAAAAAGTAAGAATCACTGGTTTGATGATGAATGTTAAGAAGCGATAATGAAGCGAAAAGTGGCAAGAGTAAAAATGATACAAAACCCTTCAACTAAAAATGTAGAAGAATACACAGAGTCTCGTATGAAATCAAATTCAAATCAAATTAATTAGAAAAAAGAAAAGATCATCAGAAAAAACCAATCTAAATGACATTGAAGCATATAAGAAAGACCCGAGATTGTTTTTTGAAAGTGTAAATCAGCAAAAGATGGTTTTAAATCTTGTACCTACCTTATGATTTATGATGAAGGTAATCTTGTGTCAGACCCTAAAATTATCATGAATAATTTCTAATTGTATTTTGAGAATTTACTAAACACTCCAACGTCTTATGAAATAGACAATGCAAATAGAATTTGGAGACAGGTTAAAGACCAAATGTATGTTACAGTTGAACCAGAAGTACCAGAACCTTCTTTGGAAGATATTAAGGCAATAGTGGAGTTCTTGAAGAACAATAAAGCACCAGGAGAAGACAATATAAATGCGGAATTGCTTAAACTTGATCTCTTGGAAAACTTACATAAAACCATCTCAATTATATGGAAGGAAGAAAAGCTTGAGAAAGATTGGAATACAGCTGTTATCTTCCCGATCTACAAAAAAGAGGGGCCCAAGAAAGTAGAAAATTACCGGGGAATATCCCTTTTAGACATTGCTTACAAAATCCTGTCAATAGTTATTCTACCTAGACTTATTAGTATTTATCAGAAATAATAAGCGAATACCAATGTGGTTTCATGAGAGGCAAGTCCACTACAGATCATATATACACCCTTAGAAAAGTTATGGAGAAGTTCTATGAATATAACAAAGATCTATAATTGATCTTCATTGATTTTCAGCAAGCTTATGACAGCATCAACAGAAATCGATTATGGTCAGCACTTATGCATTTTGGAATACCAAAAAAATTGGTAAACCTAATAAGATGTAATTCAAAAACATTTTGTAAAGTACGCTTTCTTGGAGAATCATCAAAGGATTTTGAAGTAATATGAATTGAAGCAGAGGGATGCGTTGTCTCCCACACTTTTAAATATAGTTCTTGAAAGAGTTATAAGAGACATGCAAGAAAAGCGAAATATGGAAATATTGGGGTGCACTACTCTTTTAGCTTATACGGATGACATTGTTATATTCGGAGAATCTAGAATGGATTTAGAAGAGACTGTAAGAAAGCTCATAGTAACAAGTAAAAATATGGGACTTAAAATAAATTAAAATAAGACTAAGTATATGTTAATGAGTAAGCACCCAGCTTCTTTTCAAAATCTAAATGTTCATAATTTCTCTTTTGAACAAGTCCAGAATTTCAATTATTTAGGTGCTAACATAAGTCATAAAAATAATATGCATAATGAGATTAAAAGCAGGATAAGTGCGGAAAACCGAGTGTAGTGCACAATAAATAAAATGTTCACATCAAAACTTTTTTCAAGAGACACGCAGATAAAGCTATACATCGCCTATTTACACCCTATTGTCATGTACGGATGTGAAACATGTTCCACAACGCAGGGTTATGAGAACAAATTATTGACTTTCGAAAGGAAAGTATTTAGAAAAATCTATGGGCCTGTGTTGAATCCAATTACTGGTTTGTACGAGCGGAGAAAAAATGCAGACTTGAGCAGACTGTATAATACTTCAAATATACAAGATTTTTTAAGATCAAAAAGACTTGAATGGGCTGGCCATGTATGGCGTGCAGAGGGAAGATTGATCTAACAGGCTCTCGTTAACAAGCCAAATAAAAAACAACCAGTGGGAAGGCCACGTCAACGATAGATGGATCGAGTAAGAGATGACTTAAAAATGTTGAGAATTAGAGCGAGTATTGAGGATGCAGAAAATCGAGAACTTTGGAAAACTTTGGTGGAAGCTGCAAAGCGCCTAAATGGCGCGTGAAGCAATTAAGAAATTTATCAGTATCGATTAATCAGTATAGCATTATGTAAGGCGACTGAAACGTGTGAACTCATGTTCGGTGTCGATAGTTTATTATGAGATTTATGAGACCATATCCATATGATGACTATTCATTAAGAATGTTCAGTTAAATATTTTAATTTCCATTGAACCATGTGAACGATTTGTTCAACGAAAATAATCATTAGCAGAAATGATTCAGTTTTATTTATTTTTATTTTTTGGTTTAATTTGATTTTATAAAAAAAAATTATTGAGTTAAAATAAACATTTTAACTGATACGTTTAATTTATCAATTAAAAAGCGCATAGGACGTTTCGCCCAAATTTTTTTTAATAAGATTCCCGTTTAGCTCAGAGTAGTTTAAATTAATTTTAAATTAAGTTGGTAATGATTATTTTAAATTACATAATATTGTTATTTTAGAGTATCATTTAGCGTCATCTAGAAGAACACTAAAAACTAATACTCATTGTTCTCCAAAAAAAAAAAAAAAAAAAAAATGTTATTTTCAGTTCACAAAAATGGTACACTTAAAAAATTTAAAATTTAGTCCAAAATATTTAATAGAAGTATTGTTAATATCTCAAATTTACACAATATTTATAAAAAATATTTCAGTATGAACTTCGATCTAGATTCGATAAAGATTTGGATTTCTTATACATTGTCGCTTATTTGCTATTGATTTTATATATTATTATATATAAATTAGATTTATTTCGACTAAAATTACTATAGGTTTTATAACAGCCGTCTTTTCGGAATCAGAATCTTGTTTAATTGTCTGTAGAACGGATACCTACCAAATAAGCACCATTTCTTTTTGTCGTTTATTAAAATATAATATTTGACTGAACCATTGCCAACTTAATTATAAATTTATCTATACTAGTCAGGGCAAAACTGGTCCCGCCCATTAAGAAATATCAGATATTTATATCTAGCTTCTAATTAAAGAAATAAAATTAGCAATTAGGTCATTAATAAACTTTAAATCAATAAATCTATTTTTTATTGAAATCACAACGATAAAAAATCCAGATAACTAAATTGACTAAATGTCCCTTTTTATTATTGCTAATATAATAACATCAATATAATATTTAAATATTATTCGAAACTAACTTGTTTAATGAATAGTAAAATTATATGTATTCAAAACATAAAATTAAATAATTTATTTCAACTACGTCTATGTTACAGTGAAGTACATATCTTATAATATCAAGTGATATTTTAAGTATCATAATACTAATAAATAAAAATTAAATAGTAATAAATCAACTTGGACGAAATTTATCTTTAAATTCATTTTTATACTTAATTTATTTCATGTACGATTCTACTTACTTTACCAGGAGTAAGAAAGTAAGACTTGTGCATTTTCCGATGCATGTAATTTTTCAAAGACTGTATGTATCTGTTTATACGAAGAAAAATATACAATTATTACACATTAGTAGTTTAAAAATATATAACATGTAATGTTATACTACCTATTTAAGATTTCAATAAAAATTGTTAAATAATTTGTTTAGTCTTCAAGAGCATATAAAATACTGCACGATAAATTGGTATTGGGAAACTCGATGCGTAAGTACACCTTTTATTTATATGTTATCATAATGTATAAATGTGTTGTAGTACAACGATTTTCACCGACCTCTTACACTGGTTAAGTCAGGTGACAGTCGAAAATTGAAGTTTACGTCGAACGCGCACCGCTTTCACATCGAATTGGTTGATTGATAACAGAGATTAGAAGAACAGAATCCTTATTGCTACGGAATACGTTTTCAATATTGAGAACAAAAGAAAGCCGTATCACATTATATGATTTACTACGGTATTCTCAACCGGAAAATGTTATGTATACGGCAACCAGTGACAGTGGTTCCTATACAGTGTATAGTATACACTCTACATATACCATATACATGACCTTTGACGCGAATTTACATACATATTCAAACTTATCTCTCTCATGCAAACATATATTATACATACACACACGCATTTAAATATTGCATATCGTCTTCGAGCGCGCAATCGATAAGCCCCTTTGACAGAGTGCGACTTGGTCACCACCACCGTTGTAAAACGTTACCAGATTTATAATACATTATATCCATTAGCCGCGAGTACGAAAGCCGAACTTCACGCGTGCAGATGCTTTTTACAACTTTCATAACGTTTTTAACGGTCATGTCGTGTACGGTGGCGCGCGCGACTTCGCGCGTGTATCCTTTATGTTGCACAGCGGCAATGGTCACGAGGGTGGGAATGTCGGATAGATATTATTAATAGAGTACTACCGGTCGATCGTAAAAACGTCGACCTACACGTTTCACGAGACATCTGTTCGCTTGAATAAGTATAAAAAAATCAAAAGTACCGACGAAACTGTGAGTAAACGAGCTGGTTTGTCGGCGTAAACGAGATTGATTATATTTATATTACGTTTATACCGGGGCTTGTATCACTGACGCGTGGTCTCCCTCCGCAATGTGTGTGGACCGTATAAAAAATACGTATAAGCAGTAACAGCGATTGCAAACATTGTCCCGCCCA